ATGCTAAACACTTTGAAAATTCTAAATTATTTTAAATTTAAATTATTTTTATTATTATGAATGTATTATAACAATATATAGATTTCAGATGTGCATCATTATAAAGCAACATCTGTATATAATTATGTTCACCTCTAAAAGTCCAATTCCCTCCTTCATTATACTATTGACTCATTTTCTCTGATTTTCTGACCCCCTTTCTGAATGCTAACTATTTTAGATGTATTCGTTCCTTTAATTGTCAAATTCTGTGAGATAGATATTATTATTACATTAGTTATATGAGCACTGAGGTTCAAATAGGCTAAGTAATTTGTTAACCCCAGAGCTAGTGCTCTAAGCCACGAAAACATATGGCTCCTATGTTAATTTCTCAGGGCTGCCATACATACTATGGACTGGATGACTTTAAATAATAGAAATGTATTTTCTCACAAGTTTTGAGACCATAAATCCAAAATCAAGGTGTTGGCAGAGTTTGTTCCTTGCAGAGGCTCTGAGGGAAAATCTTTTCCATGCTTTTTTCCTAGCTTCTTGTGATTGCCAGAAATCCTTGTAGATATGTCACTCTAATCTCAGCCTCCATCTTCTTATTGCTTACTTCTCTATGTCTGAGTGTCTCTATTTCTTTACTCTTATTGTTGGGGGAACAGTATGTCTTGAATAAACTCAACTCAGTGTTGTTTCATGGAGTCTACCCCCACCCACCTCATGCCAAAGAGTTATTTTAAGCACATGGGTGAGGACTCACATCCAGGCCATCCTGTTTCCCTTTGAGGTTGCCCTGTAACATGAAGACATCTGTCATTGGGTTTAGGGTTTAAGCTGAACCAGTATAATCTCCCTTGCTCTTTACCTTGGTAAAGGTAAATTCTTGCTATCTAAAGAATTTATTTTGAAGTAAGATCACATTATATTCCAGTGGACATAAATTTTTGGGGAACAATATTCAACCCACTATAGCTTCTTATATTGCACTTATCCCAATGCTCCCATGTTATCATTCATCTTCATAGACATCTTTGAATGGATGCATGATATTCCCTTTCCCTATTGGTGGACTTTTAGTTTGAAGATGGCTGCAGCTTTTATGTGCAAATCACATGAAAGCTCTTTCTTCCTTAGCTCAGTGAACCAAGAAGGAACTGGTCCCTTTAGTTTTGTGCAAGGTACAATCAGTCCATGAAAAAGTGTGGTCCAGTGGATCCTGGGATGGGTTTGTTATTGTTTTAGAACATTTAAGAAGCTCAATATTGTAATGGGTTTTTCTTTTCTGTTACCAAGTAAAAAGTGCACAATGAATTAAAAGAAACCTCAGAGATACTTATTTCAAATGCTTCAGTTATATAGGAGAAAATAACATTCTATATTAATTTACTATTTATTAATTTACAAGCATGGTTGAGATCTAATTTTTTTGGTTTAAGAAACAGATTCATAGTGGTTGGACCAGTTTGCATTCCCACCAACAGTGCAGGAGAGTTCCTTTTTCTCCACAACCTCGCCAACATTTGTTGTTGCTAGTTTTTTTAATATGTGCCATTCTCACTGGTGTAAGATGGTATCTCATGGTAGTTTTGATTTGCATTTCCCTGATGACAAGTGATGTTGAACATTTTTTCATATGTCTGTTGGCCATTTGCATTTCCTCTTCAGAGAAGTTTCTTTTTAGCTCTTCTGCCCATTTTTTGACTGGAGTATTTTCTTTGTTGTTGTTGAGTTTCATCAGCTCTTTGCAGATTTTTGTGATCAGTCCTTTATCATTAGTGTTGGGTGCAAAAATGTTCTCCCAGTTGGTGGGGTTTCTCTTTGGAGATTTCTGGACCTACTAAACATAGAGCTTCCATATGATCCAGCAATTCCACTCCTAGGTATTTACCCAAAGGACACAGAAACATCAATTCCAAAGAACACCTGCACCCCTATGTTTATAGCAGCACTATTTACAATAGCTAAGCTTTGGAAACAACCCAAATGCCCAAAAATAGATGACTGGATCAAGAAGATGTGGTACATATATACCATGGAATATTACTCAGCATTCAAAAAAGATAAACACATGCAATTTGCAGCAACATGGATGGCGCTGGAAGGGATCATGCTCAGCGAAATAAGCTAAAAAGAAAAAGAAAAATACCGGATGGTCTCACTCATAGCAGGAATCTAGAAAACTTAAATAAGGGATCAGGAAAAAGAATAACTATAAGAAAGTGAAAATCAAAATCAACAAAAAAATATGAACCAGAGACACTTTTTGGGGGGTGGGGCCGGGAGGGGAGGGATTGGGGTCAGAATGGGGCATGTGCAGTTGTATGGGGGAATATAAAAATAAAATTTATTATTTAATAAAAAAAAAAAAAGAAACAGATTCAGAATTTTTTAAAAAAAGATTTATTTATGCACACAGGACCTGGGGTACAGGCCAGAGCGGGGGCAGTGAGAGGATTCACCAGAGACAGAGTGGGGAGCAGAACAAGTGGACTGACAGAAATACACTGCTGAGGGGAACAATGGGCGAGACAGGAGAGGTCTGCTGCACCATGTGGGTCACCTCCCTGGCTGGGGATAGCTTCATAGTGCTGACAACCTCTTGTGCCACCAGGGAGGTACACAGATTCAGAAATTTTAACTAATTTTGTGCAAATTAGGATAAGATTCAAAATCTCTTTTTTCCTCAGTATTCTTCATTTCAGCATGAAGACTCAAGTTGAATACTTTTTCCTGTTGTACTGTGACATAATATTAAAAAAAAAAATTTATTACCAGGGGTATATTCATCCTTTTACGTATGTTTTCTAAGTTCTCTTGAAACTACCTACACCATTCTTCCTTTTTTTGAACTTCATTTTCGCACCATTCTTCCCTTTTTTAAGCATTGTTTGATGAATATTTTCGACCAGATAAAAATGTGAGCAGCCTTCTTAAAGTGACTGTCTTTCTACATGTCTTTAGGAATATTCATCTCTTATGATAGTACTTTGTTTACTTTGACAAGCCTGATATTTTAATAGCATATATTTCAAAGGGCAAAGGAGGAGTTATACAGCTTCTTATTGTGAAATTCATATAAACTTTTAGAACGCATTTTTTTTGTTTTGTAGAGAAAAATATAATTTTCTAAGGCCTCAAATAAATTACATAAATAAGCATTCCAGTCTACAGTCTAAGACCAAAATTTGTAGCCTTTGTTTTCACAGATACATCGTGGCTCTTTGAAAGTAGTAGATACACATGATATCTCACAATACAACTATATACTTGGCTGCTAATAATTTCATGTTGATTGTATGAATGGAATAATCATGTTAAATGAAAATAAAGTCTCATGATAGAAAAAGAGTTTACTAGCTAATCAAACTGAGGATTCAAATCTGGGAAGCAGGCTGGCAGATTTCTCTCCAATAAATGCACGTTTGAATTCAGTTTATATAGAGATGAGAACAATGAGTAATTGACATTAAAAATGTAATTATTATTGATAGGAGGGGCTTCTAGTTCTAAGTTGTCCTGACAACTAGTATCAGATATGCTGATATTAGGGGAAGGTAGTGCAGGATTTAATTTTTCCTTGCTAAAGGAATACTCTGCAGAGATGCAAAAGTTAGTTACCCATTATTAAATCTTATTTTTCATTCTGAAAAAGACTATCTTCAGGCAGCAATTCTGGCATATAGGATAGAGCTTGTGAAGATGACTTATTAGACCAAGGGTCAGTCAGGTCTCCAGAATTTTACAGTATGTTCTCAACCACTCTCTTTCCTTGTCTTGATCCATTTTGCTCTGGCCACCCTAACTGTACTTTTACTCAACCACTGCACCCCTTTCCATCTTCGTCCATGGCTATAAATTAGTTTTCTCCAGCGATTCCCTTGCCATGTTCCTATGGGTCTTTTAAGACCCATCTTTCAAATGTCACATCCTCATGAAGCATTTTTCAAGAGTAATATCTCATTCATCTCTATGTCTCCAGCATATGGCACAGGGTCAAAGTGAAATAACTATGTATTGAATGAGTAAGTGAATGAACAGAAGGGACAGAGCAAATAAGAGAACAAATAACAACATGGGCTTTATTGGTTTGACAAATCTTGACTTACAACTGTGCTTCTTGACTTACAACTGTGTGACCTTGGTCAATTTAGTTCACTACTCGGAGACTTCATTTCCTTAATTTTAAAATGAGGATAATGATAGTGTCTGATTTGGGATTTTGTGAGAATAAAATAAAATCCTGTGTAAAATCTTCTGCTTAAGAAGTGCTAAATGTTGATGTTGTTAGAATTGTTTTACAGGTTTCCTTTGATTGTGCTGGAGGGGTTGCAGTCTGGCTGAATTTAACTAACCTCTGTGCGATCACATGGGATGGAAATATTTGGTTGGAATGGTCATGGCCACCACCCCTTTTTCCATTCAAACTGAATACAATAAAATTATAACTGGAAAATGCTAAATTATAACTGGAAAATGCTAAATTATACCTGGAAAATGCTAATTAATTAGAATTACCCCCAGAACATGAGTGTTAGGAGAAAGAGACAAAAAAAAAAAGGAACTAAAAATGTTTTTCCATAAATATAAAAAGCTTGCAAGTAACTTTTTGGGGTTGACTCTAGAACACCTTCAGCCTAAACATCTATATTTTTACACAGTGGCAACTATGTACATTAGAGGTTGAATTCCATCTATAGAGTGGATCTGTGGCTCTTGTTAAAAGCTTATAATGAAGATGATGATGAAATCTAAAAATACAGTTTTGTATTTTTAATTTAAATATTAAAAATAAATGTAATTAAAAATTATAAAACATTATTTTATAATTTTAAATAAATGATCAGATTTCTTGAGTACATATTTGTAATTTTTATTAACAATGAAAGAAACTAAATGTGAATGCATATAGTCAAAAATGTATTTACTATTGGAGAAAAATTCCAGTAGGAAGTTTTTGGGCCTAATTCTCTGATCTCTTCATTAACATAAGGCTTCTTGTTCCTTTATAGTTGGTTTGCCATCCACCCAGTGAGCATGAATAACACCAACCATCTTGTAAATAGTGACAATGTGGGCTATGCAGCTTACCTTTTTGAACAAGAGAAGAACAAAGGATATCTACCTGGAGAGGTGAGAATTTATATTGTCAAAAATTTCCTCTTAATTGATTAATTATCATTATCCATGCAATGTTTAGAAGAGCTGCTTCTAATCTCTAAAGTGTCATCATGAATGTCATATACTTAGGGATGGAAATAATTCTTATTTCTCCCTAGTAGGGAATGAAAAATTAGAAATGGCTAATAAACTCTGTCTCAAATAGTACTTATTTTGATGACATTATAAAGTTACAATTAGTTGGATAAGGAAGGACAAGTTCAAGATTTTCATGATATATAGTTGTTTTGGATCAACTTGGCTATATGAAAACTATATTGAGGTTTACTTTTGTTTTCAGAGCTACAAAAGTTTTAAATGCATTCTGAATAGTGTAAGATTCTGAACAACAGGTGGTAAGTCCTTCACATTAATCTAGACTTCCCTCTTAAAGTCAAATTTCCTTCCAAGGACCTTATTCTACTTTTCTGCAATAAGGCATAATCAGAGACAACCCTTTTCCATCACACTTATATTTGTAACTTTGCAATGCAGTGAGGGCTGGCATCAGAAATGCGGGACCAGAAACCCAGTCCTTGTGTGCCCCAAAGCTCTTCAGCTCTGTGTAAATCACAGGCTACAGATGGATAAATGGGAGAAGCCACAAATGCAGAATAGCCTATGAAGGATAAGAGTCCAGGTCCTTGTCTAGAACAGACATTCTGATATAAAGATATGAGCATCAAGAACATTCTATCAATATCTGACCTTTTAGCTCCTTTGTTGACAGAACTCTATTTTTCAATTTTATCCAGCATCCTAGGAAAAAGAAAGGAGGCTCTGGTTTATGATCACTGACTGGATGATAAGCATTTTAATATAAATTATCTTTTTAGAATTAAAAAAAGTCATCTCTCAAAACTTGCAGGCAAACTATAGATCTGAGGCAGACAGCAGGGGAGAGAGAGGGAGAGGGGTCAAAATGGAGGAGGGAAGAGCACAAGGGACTGTGGTGATGGCTCATGGGTGATGTGGTGGTGGGAGATTTATGGGGACTACCACTGAGGGAGAAATCAAATATTATACAAAAATAAACAACAATATATAAGAACATAAAAAAAGGGTTTTAAAAAATGATCTCTGATATTTGCTTATCTTTTTCTCTAAGAAAACTAAAGACATTTAAAGTGAAATGGTAGACCTATTGGGTTGAGGTTAATGCCTTGCAACCCCCTGAAAGGTTATGTGTTGTTTTTTTAGGTTGAAGAGATAAAGTGTAGAGAAGGAAGGACTGGAATGTAGATGCTATATTTAGGTTTAGTTTTACAACAGGAAAACCTGGATTGACTCTTTTAAAACCAACAGGATATTTATTTTTAAAGGGCAATGGTTTTCTCAGCTCCAGATAAAATAACACAGAATAGATTGATGGGTTGGCATTTTATAATTTATTGTTGTACACTGTATTTCTTGTCAAAATATTTCTGTTTGAGGCACAAATTTGAAACTCCTACTTGAAACAACTTTATCAATAGTTGGAATATCATTAATAATAATGTGTCAATAATAATATGCTGAATGCATTGTGAGACTTTCAAAAATAAAAATTTTCTCAGAATATTGTATATCCTTCAATGCATATAAAAGATTTTGAATAGTTCATCAGAGTGGATTGAATGTTTACACTTTTCTTGGAAACATTATAGGAAATAAAGAATAAAAGACCATTGGATTTTTTTTTTTTTTTTTTTTTTTTTTTGCCAGGGGCCCTATGTAGCAGCTTTTGCTTCATCAAACCTAGGAGATGTGTCTCCCAATACTGCTGGTCCACATTGCATCGACACGGGAGAATCTTGTGATAATGCCAATAGCTCTTGTCCCCTTGGTGGGGTAGGTATCTATCACACTAAATCTTTGGTTTTGTATCTCATATACATTCATCTTTAATTTACAAATATGTCTTCATCAAGTGTACATTGACCTTTTACAACCTATTATTTTCAAAAGTACCTGCTAAATTTCTCAGGTAAAATTGTTTTACCCCTTAATTGACTTATTTTATTTTTTATTTGTAAGACAATTTAAATGTCAAGTATTAAATAACCTTCCCCAAACTTGGACTCTCTGAAACATTTGCCTTGGCATTTTTTCACAAATTAGTACCAAAAACATTTTGAGACATTTCTCTGGATTAAAACAAGAAAACTTCTATTCCAACCATGGAATCTAAGTTCTCATTAGTCTGATTGGGTCAAACTATGTCCCATGCCTGTTCCTGAACCAAAATAGTTGCTGCGGGGAGGTTATGTACAGATTGAGTTAACTTGGAGTTCCTGACTAATCTATGGCAAGGCCTAAGGAATCCCTTGGTTTCCTTTGATTGAGCTGGAAATGAGAGAGGTGTTGCTTAAGATGACTTTCTAAAGCTTAGCTATTGTCAAAATCAACAAAAAACTATGAACCAGAGACACTTTTTGGGGGGTGGGGGGCAGGAGGGGAGGGATTGGGGTCAGAATGGGGAGGTTGCAATTGTATGGGGAATATAAAAATAAAATTTATTATTTAAAAAAAATTTGTAATAGATTTAAATAAAAAGAATAGAATCCTAAAAAAAAAAATAAAAGAAAAGATGACTTTCTAAACCAAATTGGGAATCACTTAAGAGAAGAGGAGGGAAGTGGATAAGTATTGCCTGTCTTCTGCTTTAATGTGATCCTTTGAAAATAATTAAAAAATTTTAGACTATCACTTTAACATTTTAAAAAAGAATGATATATGATTGAATACATCAATAATGTATTCAATAATAATACTGAAAAATTCAGAAAATGAAATTTATCTAAAGGAACATGCTCCCCGCCCCCACACCATTTAACATCACTGTTTAATATACCTCTTCCCAGACTACTTTTTATGCCTCCTTGCACATATATGTATGCGTAATTTTATGCTGTTCTATTTACTGCTTCCTTATTACCAGTATTTACTTAAAACATCATTGGTACTGTGATTTTTCAATTTTAAGTACTATAATTTGTTAGCCAGTCTCCTACCATAAAGTATTTCTTTTCCTTCCCTTCATTTTTCTTTCACACCATTTTTCTTTTTAATTTTTCCTTCCTTCATGTAAATATGCTATGGTCACTAAGCTTATGAGTATTTCACATGTGGATGTGTGTCACTTTAGATTAGATTCTTAAAAGTGCACTTGCTGTCAAAGAAAAAGCACATCTAACTTCTGCTACTTGTTACCCAGTGCCCTCTCAATCACATTCCACAGTGCATGAGCAACACTTTTGTTGCTCACTGATATCACTTTTGTCAATTTTTCAATCTTGGCCAACGTGATATGCAGACCTCTCTTTTTGTCGTTTAAAATTATATTGAATTGTTCATGAAATTGATCATATTTTAATATTGAACGCTCTTTTACAGCTCCATTGTTGTGAATTACCTATTCTACTCATATTTCATCGTGTATCAATTAAGAGCCTTTTTGTTTGCTTTTATTCCCCTGTTCAAGTTTATAGAGATATCACTGACATATAACATTGCATAAGGTCAGATGTTAGCTATCAGTATAATCTCTGGTAAATCCTCTAACCCACTTTAGCCTCAGTGTCATTATTTTCTTCAGTTTCCTTAATAAATGGGGAAGAGAATAGAAGGTTTTTAAAGATGCTCACTGCTCTAATTCCATAAGTGCTTTTTGTCTTTCATAATTTGTAAACAGAAAGAGTATCTGAAAAGAAATGCTAGAATGTGGCTTAAGAAAACTGCTTCTTAGATTCACTTGTAATTTTCCATTCTTTAAAATAACCGCTTTCACTAAGAAGACATTTTTTTATCATTTTGACTTAGCCCAACATGTGCATGGCCATGGGACCTGGACAAGATATGCTGGACAGCACACAAATTATAGGACGGGCCTTATTTCAGAAAGCAAAGGTAAACTGTGGGCCCAGCTTCTTTCATCTTCATTTGAAATTGTTCTTTAAAATCTCCTCATGGTGCTCATGAGAAAGGAATTTAAGGAGGGCAGCAAGCTCACAAGCTGTGCTGAGGAGTCTGAGAGGGAAAGTTGATTCATGTGTTTTGGAAGTCTGCTTTCACAAGCACTCTGCTTGCGTCTGACTTCTGACAGGAAGTACATGTAAGCCGAAGTACTCAGGAAAACATTCTGTATCAGCCAGAGTACTTCTGACAGTGGGATGCTTAATTGTAAAGCTCTCAATTTTTGTGGTCTCAGATTGGACCCCAAGATCCAAATGTTCAGAGGTTTCTCAGATCTCTGCCTGTGAAGTCACCTAACCATGTCTTAACTTTTTGATGGAGAGAGAATGGGTATCCAGTGAGATTACTGTGAAATACTCTACCCTATACCCTTCCCAAATGTTGTCTTCCATTTTACCCCCATGTTCCATGTCAGGGGCTATGGAGACAGGTTTCTGATTGAAAAGACATAGGATGACCTGTAGCAGAGGTATGTCTGATAAAGATAGTTGAAATATCTTACTTTTTATCATTTACATACCTTTGTTTTGTGTATGTGCATGTGTTTATATGTTTGTGTGACTATTTATTCCAACGATTTAAAAATGGTTCAGGAGCAATTAAGGAATAACAAAAGCACACTTAAAAACACTAGACATCAGACTTTCTACTGCAGTTTCTTTTAATTACTGTGGATTTATTGTCAGTGAGTTGTTCTAAATAAACAGATTCTACTTAGAGTGAGCACCCATGGCACTATTTGGTGTCAGAAATTCTGTCACCATTCTGGGCCTGGGAGTCACAGAGATTCGCTCCATATTTGCATCTCTTCTCAGAAAGGCACAACCTCCTGACCACCTACCTTGAGTGCTCCCATGTGGTTATTAAAACTGGGATGCAAACAGAATAGAAATGATTTAGTATCAGGCAAAGGGATTTGTACTAAAGTAGGATTAGCTTATATTATGATGCAGATAAAATAAAAACAACAACAAACACTTTAAAACAGGTTTAGACTCAGTTTTCTTATAGAATTGAAAAAAAGCAATTAACCATATTAGAAAGAAAAAAAAAAGCACACCAAACAGAGGAGAGAAGAACACAAGGGAATATGGTGACGGTTCACCAATGATGTGGTAGCAGGAGAACTGTGGGATCTATCCCTGGGGGAGAAACCAATTACTGTACAAAAATGAACAATGACAGGCCTCCCTGGTGGTGCAAGGGGTTAAGATGTAACCTATGAAGCAATCTGCAGCCACTGAAGCACAAGTTTGATCCCCGGCCGGGGAGCAACCCACCTGGTCCAGCAGAACTCTCCTGACTCACCCACTGCTCTCCTCAGCAGTGTATTTCAGTCAGTCTGCCTGTTCTGCTCCCCACTCTGTCTCTGGTGAATCCTCTCACCCCCCACACATCTGGCCTGTACACCAGCTCTTGTATGCATAAATAAATAAATCTTTTTTTTAAAAAAAGGACATTAAACAGTAGGTTGCAGGTAGAAAAATTAATACAGATTGAGTGGGGCCTGAAGTCTTTCAAAGCATCCCTGGCACTAGCCCTGACAGGGAATACCCAAGGGCACCCTCTCACCTGGCAGAGAGAGTAATTTGGCTTACCTACTCCTAAACTTTGGTTTTCTTGACTGTCTTCCAAATGAGATTGGGCTCTCTTGTGCCATAGAAATTTCCTGAATTTCTTATGCCTGAAATTTCATATTTCTGGGGACTAGACATGGGCCAGGCATGTCTGGGGATTCAAGATTCTGGCAAACAACTGGGGCTGGGGGGAGGGAAAAGGGAAGGGAAGGAGACAGGAGAAGAGGGAAGAAGAGAGATCTGTAGTAGCCATTTGTAAGCAACCAACAAGCAAAATGTGGTTGAGAGATAAACTTTGACAGCTAATACTATTGGATAGAGTGATAGTATTCATTTTGGCTTTTTTGCTTGCAACACTAAGCATGTATCAATTTTCTAGGAATTATATGCCTTAGCAACCCAGGAGGTGACTGGACCCCTGGCTTCAGCTCATCAGTGGGTGAATATGACAGATGTCACTGTCTTTCTCAATTCCACACATACAGTAAGTGTCACTGAGTCGCACTGATGATGACGTGAGGGTAAAGCTCTGGCCCTAACTCATGATTTACTGCAAGTTCAACTTGTGTTTCTTTTTTGTTTTTATTTTCAAATTCTATCCCCTAGGCAAAAACCTGTAAACCAGCATTGGGCTTCAGTTTTGCAGCTGGCACTATTGACGGAGTTGGAGGCCTCAATTTTACACAGGGTGAGGAAGTTTGATGAAATCTGTGCTTGCAGGTTCTGAAGGCTCCGATCTCTTATTTTCTTCAGGTTCATTGGTAGCCAATATATTTGCTATTTTTGTTAGCTCAGGAGTGTGTAGGTTTTCCAGGTTTCTACATGACAGATTTCCCTAGAATAGGCGTCTTTTTTTTTTTTTTTAAGATTGATTTATTTATGCATGCAAGAGCTGGGGTACAGGCCAGAGATGCGGGAGGTGACAGGATTTACCAGAGACAGAGTGGGGAACAGAACAGGCAGACTGACTGAAATACACCATTGAGGGGAGCAGCAGGTGAGACAGGAGAGGTCTGCTGCGCCATGTGTGTTTCTCCCTGGCCAGCTGGGGATTGAACTTGTGCTGCAGAAACTTCAGATTTCTTCATAGTGCGGTGCTTAACCCCTTGCGCCACCATGGAGGCCCTAGAATAGGTGTTTTTTAAAATTAGCTTTCCACTGATTCAAGTAGAAATAGAAACTTCTTTGTATTTCAATTTGTGGATAGACAATTTTTAAAAATGACTTAAATTTTTTATTATTTTAAATTAAATGTTTTTATTGATATGACATTCAATTATAATATCATATAGATTTCAGGTGTAGTCTTATACTCCAACATCTGTATATACAGTGTGTTCACCACTCAAAGTCTAGTTACTGTCCTCCTCCATACACTGAATCCTTTTATTCCTTTCCCTTCTGGTAACCACTGTTGTTTTCTTATAAGAGTTTGTTCTTGTTTTTATTTTACTTGTTCATTTATTTTGCTTCTTTATCTTCCATATATGAGTGAAATCATCCAGTGTCTTTGTCTTTCTTTCAGTGTAACTTATTTCACTAAACATAATCTCCTCTATGTCCATCCATGTTGTTGATAACTATGTGGCAGCATTTCATCTTTTTTTAAATAGCTGAATAGCATTCCATTGTATAAATACAGTCATTTGCTCCTTAACTACAAAGATACATTTTAAGAAATGTGTCATTAGGTGTTTTCATCATTGTGTGAATATCACCAAGTATAATTACACAGACCTACGTGGTCTAGCCTCCTACACACCTGGCTGTTAGAATTGCTGTCATATATGTGGTCTATCCTTTGCCAAAATGTTGTTAAGGGATGCATGACCACATCTTCTTTATCCAATCGTCTGCCATGGATGGATAATTTTAAATTGGACTAGAGCTGTGAGGGGGTGTAGAGAAGGATTGTACCTTCAACAGTATGAGTCAGCTCTTCCATCTGGTTATCTATGTCTTTTCCTTGATTCATTTATTAGAGCAAAATTTCCTTAGGTCTTTAGGATTCTAAAACTTGTGATCCCAGGTCTTCTTCCTGTTTGTATTTCCACAAATTTATCACTGATCAAAATAGGTTGTATACTTTTGTTCTGATTATCACTGTAATATGCATTGTAAAGCAGAAAAAGTAGAAACAAACATGGAATAATCCACAGGCAACAACTTGGCTTAATTTTTTGTTGTCTTTTTTATATCATATTTTGGAACCATTAATTAAAAAATAATGAATACAGATGCAATTTTCTGTGTTCAGTGTCATCTTTCCTGGTAATATTTAATTTAGTCAGATCTGAAGTTTTAAATACCATATAATTCACTTATTTAGTATGTACAATTCAGTGGTTTTTAATATATTCACATATATGAGCAATCATTACCAGTCAATTTTATAACATTTTCATCACCTAACAAGAAATCCTATATATTTTGGCTATCACAATCTCCAGTCCCATCTTTCCCAGACCTAAGCAACTCCTAATTTTCTGTCTTTTTATTTTCTTATTTTGGACATTTCCTATAAATGGAGTCATAAAATGTGTGATGTTTGGTGTTTATTTCTTTCAACTAGTGTCATGTTTTCAGAGTTTATCTGTGTTACAATATGTATCAGTACTTCATTCCTCTTTTAGGGTTCAATAATATTTCATTGAATGGTTATACCATATTTTGTTTATGCATTCCTCAGCTGATGGATGTTTGGGTTGTTTCACTTTTTGCCTATTAAGAATAATGCTGCTATAAACATTGAGGTACATGTGTTTACATGGGTATATAATTTCATTCTCCTCTTGGGTATATATCTAGATGTAGAATCATAGAACATATGGAAATTCTTTGTTTAAACATTCAAAGAGCTTCCAGACGATTTCCAAAATGGCTATACCATTTTACATGCCCACCAGAAGTTCTGAGGGCCCTGATTTCTCCATATGATCATCAATTTTTATTATCTGACATTTCAATTCTAGCCACCCAAGGGCTTTGGAGTGGAATCTCATGATTTTGATTTTGCATTTCAGTGACACCAAGCATCTTTTCTTGTCCTTATTAGTTCTTTGTTCATCTTCCTTGGAGAAATGTCTGTTTATATAGTTTTATCATTTCTAAATTGGGTTATTTTTATTATTGAGTTGTGAAAGTTCTTTATTCTGTAGTCAAGATCTTTATCAGAAGTATGATTTGCAAATATATTCTCCTGTTAGTTATGTTTTTACTTTTTTGACTATGTTATTCAAAGAAAAAAAAGTTTAATGATAATTAAATAAAAATGATCTATTTTTTTCTCATTTCTCATGCTTTTGGTATCCTTTCTAAGAATTTTTTTTTTTGCCAAATTTGATATCATGAAGAATTACAGTTATTTTCTTCTAAGAATTTTGTAGTTTTAATTCTTCTATTTATGTCTAATCTATATTGAATTAATTTTTATATACGGTATGAATCAAGGGCCCAACCTAATTCTTTTGCTTGTGTCAAGAGTGTTGAAAAAAATGTGTTCTTTCATTCTGTTGACTAAACTGAGGATCTGATTAAATAAAGTCTCCTGTTTTAGACTACCTCTTCTATTATGCAAAATATTTGGAATCATTGAACAGCAACCTTAATAAAATCTTTGAAACTCCTAAAAGTATTTGTGTACACTGTCAAGATGATGACATTTTGTTAGTGCATTGGAATCTTATTAATTAGAATATTTCTAATAGGGATGACTGAAGGGATTCCATTTTGGGAAACTATTCGAGATCAGATCCTAGGCAAGCCATCTGAAGAAATCAAAGAATGTCATAAACCAAAGCCAATTCTTCTTCACACTGGTGAGGTAATGCATTTTGATTATTATGATGAAATTAACATATTGTTATTTAAAAATTTGTGTTATCAAATATGAATGGTAAATCTTTATTAACATTAACAACCTTATTCAGATATTCCTACATCACATCAAATTTTTGATATTTAAGATAGGATGCTGTAAGCCTAGTTATAAGGAACAAGGGGTATGACTGTTAAATATATTGACTTAAAATTTTTCATTTATGATAATAGAATCTATCGGAATATCAGAAAGTAAAGAATAAGGCTGACATTTACCTTATTAGGATTAATTTATGTTGACTCCAGGTTGGGAGTTCACACAGAATCTCTGTAGAGAAAGAATATTTCAGGTCATATAAAAAGGAACACATTCATGTCGCAGTTTTCTTCTAGTTCAGATAATAATTTTAACAACAGCAATATTGTTTTGATCCTTGTTTGGAACAGGGGTTTTTACATTCTGAATTTCAAAAGGTCATTCCAGTGTTCCTAGAGTCTTGGATTGTTTACATAGGAAAAATCTTTTAAATACAATTTTTCCTAATATTCAATCAAAATTCTTTGGGAGGGAGAAAGAGAAGAAATGAATAAAGCGAAAGATTCTACATTAATGTAAACATATTAAAAGATAAACTCTTGGAGAAAACTTAGAAATTAAGGCAAGACTTGGAAACTGAAAAATTAAGGTGCTATTAGAGTAAAAAATGAATCCATTAAGTTAACTCTTCCAAAAGATGGAATTCCTTACTCATCTTCTATAAGTTTAGTTACCACAGTACTCTAGGAGAACTCTTGGTCATCTTTTATACATTATTATTCCAGTAACATGTCCATCAAAAACTTAATTGATGAGAAATCAAGTCCAAGTCATAGAAACATTGGCAATTGAGATTCATAGGACTAGATAGAATATTTACTACAAACTTTGATAGAAATTGCATTGAATCTATATATTGCTTTGAGTAAAATGACTATTTTAGTGTGGCATGGTAACATATATCTGAAGAGGTATGACATATACTCCTAAATCATATGCAATGTTGTAAATCAATGTTATCTCAATAAAAATGATACCATTAACAAGAGAAAATAAATGATGATTGGAGCATGACAAAAGAATACTTAAAACTATATCATAAATTAATAAGAAAATTTATGATAGAAGGCTAAAATACCAAAAGTCATCTGGAATGGCTTTGTATTGCTTTTATTGTATTTGTATTTGTTTTTATTTTTAATTATATTTGTTTTATTTTTGTTTTTTTATGTATTTTTTACATTATTTTTCATTTTTGCACAATGTATGCATTTTCATCTTGGTTATAGTCCCCATGCAATTCCCACACCCCCTTGTTTTGATCCTACTCCCTCCTCCCCACCCTGAAGTATTTCTCTGGTTTATAGTTGCTTGTTGATTTTGATTTTTACTTTATTATAATTAGTCTTTTTCCTTGTCCCTTATTTAGGTTTTCTAAATTCCTGCTATGAGTGATATCATCTGGTATTTTTCTTTGTTTTATTTTTATTGAGTTAATTTTTGTTTATCATACTGTCTATGATTTAAGCCCATGCCTTCAGATGTATGTTACCATACCACACCCACCACCAAAACCCCATAGTCCTCCATCACAATCCTCTGGGTCCCCTACCCTCTTTACTTGACTCTCTCTCCCTCCTCCTCTGGTAGGCTCAGTTCTGTGCTCTTAAAAATCTTAAATCCTTTAATAAAGAAACCTCTGTGAACACAATCTCTTGACCATAGAAAGAAGAATAATCCTAACACAGTTTTCATGTTTTGGGTTTCTAGCTGTCATTCCCCAATCCCTGGCACCCAGATATTGTTGATGTTCAGATTATTACTATTGGATCCTTGGCTATAACTGCTATTCCTGGGGAACTGACGTAAGTTTTTTTTTTTAATTTTGTAGTTGAATATGCTTATTGTATAGAAGTTTCTATTGGAATCCCTTTTATCATGAGCAGATAACACTGTATTGAGCCTTTCTGTGCTATATTTGGCAACAATTACAAATATTCCTAACCTCTTATGGTGGGGCCTCTGAAGCATAATTTTCTTGATGCCTTTTACTAGTGGATCAAGTTCACTCAAATAACATTTGGAAAACTCATTCTGTATTTACACAATCCTGTGAATTATTGTGTCCATAAAAAGACTTGAAATAATATTAAAATATATACTTGAAGCAATCAGCTTTGATATTAGAAATATGGAAATAATTTTTCCACTTTTATTGAGATATAATCAACACATCACACTGTATTTGACTTACATATTGTGGAAATGATAGCCAAATAAGTATTATTAATATCCATTATCTTAAATAGACAAAATATTTAAAAAAGAATGGGGTTTGGGGCCTCCCTGGTGGCACAAGGGGTTAAGCACCGCACTATTAAGCAATCTACAGCCAATGCAGCACGAGTTCGATCCTGGCTGGCCAGAGAGAAACCCATGTCTTGCCCGCTACTCCCCTCATCAGTGTATTTCACTTAGTCTGCCTGTTCTGCTCCCCACTCTGTCTCTGGTGAATCCTGTCACCCCCTGCATCTCTGGCCTGTACCCCAGCTCTTGTATGCATAAATAAATAAATCTTTTTTAGAAATGGGGTGGGTTTCCTCTGCAGCGCGGGTTCGATCCCAGCCGGCCAGGGAGAATCCCACATGGTGCAGCAGACCTCTCCTGCCATGCCCACTGCTCCCCTCAGCAGTGTCTTTGATCTGTCTTCCTGTTCTGCTCCCTGCTCTGTCTCTGGTGAATTCTCTCACCTTCCTGCGCCTCTGACTGTATACCAGTCCTTGTATAAATAAATAAATCTTAAAAAAGTCTAAAAAATAAATAAATAAATAAATAAATAATGGGTCTTGGGGGAACTGGATGGAGGTGGTCAAAGGGTACAAACTTTCAGTTGTAAGATAAGTATAGGGGATGTAACACAACATGATGGCTATGTTCACACTTCTCTGTGATATATTTGAAAGTTGTTAACAGAGTAAATCTTAGGAGTGCTCACCACAAGGAAGAATGTTTAAAATTTTCTCCTTATGCAGTGTTTCCTATCTTTTTTATATCTACCCAGTTGCTCAGACCCTAAATATTGGAGTCTTCCCTGATTTCTCTCTTTTTCAATTTTCCCTTCATTGAATCTTTTAGCAAATTTTGTACATTCCACCCAACAATTTATATCTCTTCCACACTGACTTAAGTCACCATTATCTCTCTCCTATATTACTACCATAACTTCTTGTCCCATCTTCTTGCTTCCTCCCTTACTCTTCTATAGTCTTCTCAAAACAACAGGCAGAGTAATCCCTTTAAAACAGAAATGAAATCATGTCACTTTTCAAAACCTTCTAAAGGCTTCTCATCTTATTCCAGGCAAATCCTCAAACCTTTACAATATCATACATTTTCCTATGTTAGCTTCTCTTCAGCAACCTCTCCAGTCTGGTTTCAGACCACTGTCCTAACTTTCTCACCCTGCTTCAGCTACATTGGGTTCATTGCAATTGCCAGGCTTACCAAGCATACATTCCTACCTTAGAGCTTTGAAATTATGCTTTTTTCTCTCTGAAACACTTAACATCCAGTTATTGCTATGGCCAACTCTTTTCTTCCTTCAGTGTTCTGCTCAGATATCTAACACAAAAGCAAGTCATGGTCTCCACCACTGTCTACCCACAACTGCCACTATTACCAGTATCAGCACCAGCACCATCATCAACACCACAACGACACCATCACCATTCATTCTTCCATACTTTATTATTCTCCATAGCACTTATTTTCATCTTTTTCTTTATTTGGTCTATCTAAATTGTCATTTTTTATTTGTTTATTGGCCATCTTCCCTTCCTAGGATGTAGACTCCGTACTATTGTATCAGTAGCACTTAGAAGTGGGCCTGGTTTGTAGTAGGTGCTTAGTGTTTTGTTGAAAGATTGAGTAGATGAATGGCATGGTAAGTCCTGTGTAGACAGGAGCAGTATGTTCTTTAATTGCCTCAGCATTTATTAACCTAGCAATATATTGTATTAAATCCATGAAAGAAAAATGACTGTGATCTTTTGCCAGTGTTATTCATTGATTTTCTTTCCCACCTTCTAGTTGTCTGTTTTCAGTTTAGAATTTGCCTTGAAGATAGAATAGTTGTAGAAGAAAAGCTCTACTTTAGTGTTGCAAGGTTGATGAATTCCTTCATACTTTACTATTATATTGCTGAGCCAGGATAACTTTTTGGATTTCACTGTAAGTTTATGTGTATGTTTTGCATATATTTTGAATAGAAAATACTTCAATAATTCTCTTTTCTTGACTCAGGACCATGTCTGGACGAAGACTTCGGGAGGCAGTTCAAGCAGTAAGTTTAAAATGAAATAAAATATCTGTGTATTCATGTTGGGTGAAAAAAAAAAAAAGAATTCCCCAAACCTATGATCTAGTAGCTTTTAAACTAATTTTTCCTGAGATGAATAAGTTGTAAACTTTTTAAAAGTAATGGCTAGAGGTGAATATGAAATAGTAACTATATAAGAAATCTAAAAAAAATGTGAGCGGTATGGTTAAACTAAAAATATTTTGATATTTATGTATTAATATTTAAAAAATTGATATGGTTTTATTGATTAAATATGAGTAATCTTTAAGTACCTTATCTTGAAGTCCTATCTATTTTTTAAAACATTTTTAACATTTATTTTTATTTATTATGCATATAAGAACTGGGTTATAGGCCAGAGGTATGGGGGTGGTGGTGAGAGGATTCACCAGAGTCAGAGTGGGGAGCAGAACAGGCGGATCTACTGAAACACTCTGGTGAGGGGGGACAGTGGGTGAGACAGGAGAGTCTGCTGTGTGATGTGGTTAGTTCCCTGGCTGGCAATCAAACTCATGCCAATAGCTTGGTAGTGTTGAGACTTTAACCCCTACACCACCAGGGAGGCCCCTTAAAGTTCTATCTAAATGAAACTTAACATATGTTGGGAATTCTGTATTTAATCTTTATTATGATTTTCTTTACAGTCTAGAAATGTTGCAAATGATTCCCATATGACATTATTAACAAATGTCTTATTACTTGGAGTTGGAAATAACCACAATATCCATTATACTTTTTAGGGTATTGATAAAATGTTTATATTTTATTAATAAAGATTTGACATCTGTAAATGAAATCACTAAGATACTCAGATCTATCAACTTGCCAATGTGTATAGTGCAGAGTTATGATGTTTAACTTAAGACTCTAATCTTCAGCACACTGAGATAGTTTTGATCATTAGGAAGAATATTAAGAGAGATATATTAATAATTCTCATCAGTGAGTGTGTGTTAAATATAACTGAAATGATGTGCTTTTAGATGAAAGATCATTTTATTGGACTCTACCTTTCTCTAGGAATTTGCATCTTATGGGAGGCAGAATATGACTGTTGTTATTTCCGGTCTATGCAATGTTTATACACACTACATTACTACCTATGAAGAATACCAGGTAAAGAATACCATTACCACAATGATTGCCACCATTCCCTTCCACCCTTACCCTGCTTTATTATTTTTCACAGCAAGTAAAGTAAAAAGTTCTTGTCATTTAATTGAATTATGCCCTGTGTCAATATTCTCCCATAATGGTGTATTAGAGAAATGATTTTTTTTTCGGGTAGATAAGAAAACGATAAGCCAGCTGTTATATTTGGGAGTTGTAGGTTTACCATTTCTAAATTCCAGTCAGAATACTAATCTCACTGAATTCCATTTTCCCTGAAATAAAATATTTTCTCACCAGCACTGGTAATAAACCTAGGTTGTGTTGTTCAGCATTCTTTATCTGTAGTGCTTTAGGTTACTTAATCTTTTATAGAAACTGGGAGGGCTCCCACTGATAGTTATTATTTATTAAATGTACTAGTTAAGGACTTGTAAATGTGAGTTTAAGTAATCTTCACAGTAAGCCTTAAGTCTAAGAAGTTTAGTTATGATTGCCTAGTGAATTAAGTAATTATCATTCATTCAACAGATATATATATATATATATATATATCTTGTTATATACTATACTAGCCACTATCAGGGTATACAAGTGGATAAGAATCTGCCCCTGTTCTCAAGACCACTAGAATTTATAAAAGAGAAGAAAATGAATGATTACGTTTCTGTGAAAAGGACACATAAGGTATGAGAAAGCACCCCAATCTAGACTGAGTATTTGAAGGTGGGAACTTTGTGGAAGATGTAACATCTGTCTGAGTTCTTGAGAATGAATAAAGACTAATTAGGCAAATAAAAGTCAGGAAAGGTGGTCTATATTGAGGGAGCTAAATATGCAAAGGTCTAGAGGAAAGATAAAGTATATTAAAGGTCCATAATTAGTTGGGTTTCATGGAGTAAACATGAAGTAAGCATGAGATTGGCTGAGTGGGAGGCAGAGTTAGTTGATGGAAATCTTATATGATATGTTGCAGAACTTTGATTCAATAGGAAAGGTTTGGGGAACTGCAATCAAATCCCAAGGAAGGAGTGCTCAAATTTGGGATTTGATAAAGCAGTAGAGACAGAGGAAAAATGATAGAACTTAAAAGAGATTTTAGAGTGGCAAGACTTGGAGGCTTACTGGATGAGAGAGAGATGTAAGTATGAGAGAGTCTAAGATCATTGCCATAGGAGATTGGAAAGATGAGCAATATTGCAGGGGAGGCTGATATGTATGGAATGGTGAATTCCATTTTAGATTTGATGACCTTGATGTTATGACTAGAACAACTACAGGCTTGGAGTTCAGTTAAAAGGAGATGCATTTAGTTCTATTTCTTAGCTCTATGATGGGTTAAATGTCCTTCTGCAGATAGTAGCAACAGCAACCAGTTCATCTGAAAATGACCAAAACTCTGATTTTTACTCTTTCCCCCTCCATGTTCTTTATATCACTGGTACTTAAAATTTATATTACAGGCACTTAAAATAGACATAAACTCAGGAGCTATTACTCTCAGATTAAGAGGATTAACAATCCAAACGGCATATTCCACTGTCTTTAAAAGTTACTTTAGCTAGTAAATGGAAAAATGCCCACCCTCATTTGTCATAATGAATCTTGAATTTTGTGAGCTGACCAGATATCACCCCTTACCTACATGATCGCTGTGTAAGTGGACTGAGCTAGGAAGCAGAGTGAACGAGTCTGCTCTGCCTTTCTTGCAGGCTCAGCGGTATGAGGCAGCATCTACAATTTATGGACCTCATACTCTGTCTGCTTACATCCAGCTTTTCAGAGTCCTTGCTAAAGCCATTGCTACGGTAAGCCAAAATTGTTTACATGTGTATCTAAGGTGTGGGGAGATGTAGGAGACAAAAGAAAACTTTGACTTTGAGTGTTCAATTTCTTTAAAGACCTTCATATTAAAAACAGTTATAGTTATGAAGTATCCTTGAGAAATAAAGCTGATAGTATTAACATCTATTGGTGGTGACAAACTTTTTTCATATATATTACTTCATACTATCTTCATAATCATGATGTGACTTATGGAGATAAAATTTTTCACTGTTTTTTTTTTTTTTTCCAGATGAGCAAATAAGCTTGGAGGTGAAAAGTTTACTGTAATTACAAGTTAATGTTGAATCAGTGTTCTCTTAATTCTGGTTCCATTCTCTCCAATCACTTCACAAATTGAACAGGTCAATTCTGACATGCCCATTTTCCCAATTGTAACATTTCTGAAAGTGGAATGTGTCTTCTGATCACAGGAATCTTATAATTAGTGACATGTTTTTACTTTACTGTTGGTTTAAAAATAACAGCTGTTATTATCAATAAAGGTTTAGATTTATTAAGTGTAGTAGTAACTTGGAATGCATATTCACATTATATCTACCTAAAATATCTGTTCCTTTAAGTAAAGGATTTAAGTAAAGAGTTCCTTTACTTAAAGGAACTCTACTTATGGAAATCTTCTCTTTGGAAGAGTTATTTATGCAGCTGTACTGTGGAGTTTGAAGATTAGTCACAATCAGAATAAATAGCTTAATTAGCAGTCCCTTTTATTATACCTTTAAGCCCAATGAAGACTGAAACAAACATTGTATAACAAAGATAAAGTCCATCCAAAGAAAGAACCTGGATATATTAAATTAAAACAAATGAAATGAAATGAAATGAAATTGCAACAACTATAGTCCCAAAGAGTTGAATATTTGTAATTATATATACCTTCACATAATTATTTACTAATTTTGTGTTTGGAATTTTAGTATGATATATTTACTTAGGATATATTTTGATTATATGATTATTATAACATTTCCCCAAATTTTAGGTCTGATACCTTTTTAAAAAAAGTTATAAAAACTTTGTAGAATATTCAAATTATATAGAAAAGCAAAAACCTATAACCCATCCCTAAAGACAACCACTATTTATTACAGTCATAGGCCTGTAGTTCTTCCTGTGGAAATATATATTCAAATTTCATAGTAATATTTAGGAAGAAAAGTCTGATTCATTTTGCAGAGATATTTTTCAGAATAAATTTGATGGTTATGTATTTAAGATGAGCTATGTGATCTTGAGTATTTCCAAGCCTATTTTCCTCATTTGCAAAATGGAAATCTAAACACATTATTTATGGGGCTTTTGGAAATATTAAATCTAAAAAGTAAAAAGTAAGGAATAAAGTACAGTAAATATGTATAAAAGCTATTTAAAATTTGATATTAGGGCTTCCCCTGTGGTGCAGCGGTTGAGTGCTGGGTTGCAAAGCTGCCTGCAGCCTCCGTAGCACCGGTTCGATCCCTGGCCGCTGGGTGAGGGTCCCACATGGCGTGCAGACCTCTCCTGCCGCCCACTGCTCCCCTTAGCAGTATACTTCGTCGGTCTGCCTATTCTGTTCCCTGCTCTGGCTCTGGTGAATTCTCTCACCCTCCTGTGCTTCTGACTGTACCCAGTGCTTGTATAAATAAATAAACAAATCTTTAAAAAAAAAATTGAGATTAGCACTATGATGACTTTACTAAAGGTGGCAAATGTGGAAAATACAGATAAAACCAGTCAGGATATGGGCTGATCTGAACATTTTAAATTTAAAATGTAAATATTACATTCTTTAATTATCTCAGAAAAGGATCCAGGAAGAAAGCTTCCCTGGAGTGACTCAACACTTTTTAAAAATTAGAGACTAATTACAGTATCATGTTACAAAGACTATCATGTGTTAAGCCCTTTACAGTCATGCAATGGAAAAACAAATGTTCCCAATCTAACCCTGTGTAATGTGCTTCCGATCTTGATCTCTGGTCACTGGAGTATAATCCTAGGGAAGTGAAAGTTTTGTTTTTAACCCAAATTCTTTTCCAGTAACAGAAATTTAAGTTGCAGATGTCTAAGCTCACATTCTAGCAAAGTTCCGCTTACATTTTCTAAATGTGTTAGCTCTTAAAGTGTGTGTGTGTGTGTTTGTGTTTTATGAATGCATTGCTGGTGTGGGGGGTAAGCAAAGGGTTTTAAGTCTGCTTTGTGTATTCCTTACGCAAATGTTCTCTGTTCTAGGATACAGTAGCCGACCTGAACAGTGGTCCAGAACCTCCATTTTTCAAACAACTGTTGATCTCATTAATTCCTAATATTGAGGATAATACACCGATAGGCCAAAAATTTGGGGATGTCCTGATACCACTGAAACAAAAATATAAAATGGTAAGACTCACAAAGGGATCTTGGAATCCTTCACAAACCTGTGTTTTAGGAGAGGGCAAAGGTGTTTACTGTCATTATCTTCTTCTAATTATGCCATGGAATAGCTGTTAGTGATGATAATTTTAATAATTGTTCTTATATCTGCAGAGACTTTGAAAACATGAGATTGGGAAAATAATTTTCAGGTGGTTACTATTGTTTTCCTAAAATTCAAATTATTCATTTTCTTCATGGGACCATTCATTGGTGCTCTCAGAAAAGAAATCTCTTAAATCAAAGATAGTAAAAGCACATAAAAATAAAGATTTGCGGTCCTCCCTGTTAGCAAGAGGTTAAGATGCAACCTATGAAGCTATCTGCAGCCACTGCAACATGAGTTCCATGCCCGGCCGGGGAGAAACCCACCTGGTGCAGCAGACCTCTCCTGGCTCACCCGCTGCTCCCTTTAGCATTTTTTTTTTTGGTCCATCTGCCTGTTCCCCACTCTGTCTCTGGTGAATCCTCTCAACCCCCAACACCTCTACCCCAGTTCTTGTATGCATAAATAGATAAATCTTTAAAAAAAATAAAGATTTGCACTGCTCCTATTTTACATTGTTCTTATATCCTGTAACTTTGCCAAATCATTTATTTCAAAAGTTTTTGGGTGCATATGTGAATTCATTAGAAATTTCTATAAATAGTTAAATGTCTGCAAATAAAAGCAGATTTTCTTATTGCCTTTGGGATTTCTTTTCTGGCTGCCTTTAATCGTCTTTTCCTCTTATTATACTGACTAGCCTCTCCAACACAATGTTGAATAGAAGTTGTGAGACTGTCCATCCTTGTCTTGTTTCTGACTTTAGGAGAAAAAACAGTCAATCTTTCACCCGTCTGTGCTTTTTTTTTCGCTTTTGGATTTTGGTAGGTGCCCTGTACCATGTTAAAAAAAAAAGTTCTATGATCAGGTTTTTGAGAGTTTGGTTCAAGATTTGGCTGCTGATAACCACTCAGTTTTTATTCTTGATTTTACTTTTAAATCTCACATGTTGTTATCCCTGTAATTGCATAACTTGTTAACTTGACAAATATTGGTTAGATTTTGTATATTGATGTCTTAGGGAGTAAGAATTTTAATCTCTGCTGACAGATATGTGTGGGCTGGGGTATGCTTTTACTATTCAGATCATTTTTTTTTAATTTATTTATATATATTTTACATCGTTCTTTTTTTTTAAAAAAGATTTATTTATATAAGCACTGGGTACAGTCAGAAGCGTGGGAGGGTGAGAGAATTCACCAGAGCCAGAGCAGAGAACAGAACAGGCAGACTGATGAAGTACACTGCTGAGGGGAGTGTGGGACCTTCGCCCGGCAGCCGGGAATCGAACCGGCGCTGTAGAGGCTGCGGGCAGCTTCGCAACCCAGCGCTCAACTGCTGCACCACCGGGGAGGCCCCATTGTTCATTTTTGTACAACATTTGCTTTCTTATCTCAGGTGTAGTCCCCATAGAATTTCCATCACCAAATCACCTGTGCAACATCACCATAGTCCCCTGTGTTCTTCCTGCCCCTATTTTGATCCCTCTTCCTTCCCCTCCCCTGCAGAATATCTCTGATTTATAGTGGCCTCTTTATTTTTGTTTTGTTGTGTTTTTAAATTATTTTTCCCTGATCCCATATTTGGTTGCCCTATAATCCTCCTATAAGTGACCCATCTGATATTTTTCGTTTTCCTTCTGACTTATTTCACTGAGCATACTTCTAACTCCATCCACATTGATGAGAATGGCCTCAGTTTATCTTTTTTGGTTGCTGAAGAGTATTCCATTGTATATACATACCACATCTTTTTTCTCTTTTTTTTCTTTTAACATTTATCATTTTTTTACATTTTTTAGACAATATTTGCTTCCCCTCACCCCCTCAGATTGAGTCCCCATAGAATCTCCTTCCCCAAGGCACCGGTGCACCATCACCACAGTCCCCTGTGCTCCTCCCTCCCTCCCTCTCACCCCTCTCCTTCCTCCTCCCCTGCAGTATGTCTCTTGTTTATAATTGTCTGTTTTTGCTCTGTTGTGTTTTGTGCTGTTATTATTATTGTTTTTACACTGATGTCTTATTTGGTTCCCCTATATTACTGTTATAAGTGAAACCATCTGATATTTTTCTTTTTCCTTCTGGCTTATTTCATTGAGTATAATTCCTTCTAGCTCCATCCATGTTGCTGCAAATAACATGAGTTTATCTTTTTTGATTGCTGAGTAATATTCCATTGTGTAAATATACCACATCTTCTTGATCCAGTCATCTACTTTTGGGCTTTTGGGTTGTTTCCAGGTTTTACCTATTGTAAAGAGTGTTGCAATAAACATAGGTGTACAGGTGCTCTTTTGAATCACTGTTTTTGTGTCCTTTGGGTAGATCCCTAGGAGTGGAATTGCCGTATCATATGGTAGCTCCATTTTTAGTAGTCTGAGGAACCTCCAGACAGTTTTCCACAATGGTTGGACCAGTTTGCACTCCTACCGGCAATGTAGGAGTGTTCCTTTTTCACCGCATCCTTGCCAACATTTGTTCTTGCTTGTTTTTTTTTGATATGTGCCATTCTTACCGGTATAAGGTGGTATCTCAGTGTGGTTTTGATTTGCATTTCCCTGATTATAAGGGATGTTGAACATTTTTCATATGCCTGTTGGCCATTTGTATTTCCTCTCTGGAGAAATGTCTTTTGAGTTCTTCTGCCCATTTCTTGACTGGATTGTTTATTTTGTTTTTGTTGAGCCCTGTGAATTCTTTGTATATCATTGTGATGAGTCCCTTATCAGTTGGATGGAGTGCAAAGATTTTTTCCCAATCAGTGGGGTGTCTCTCTGTTTTGGTTAATGTCTCTTTTGCTGTGCAGAAGCTTTTCAGTTTGATGTAATCCCAGGTGTTTATCTCTGCCTTCACTATCACTGCCTTCCTATACACAGTGATGAGTCTTTAAAGATGTTTCTGAGATGTATGTCTTGTAGTGTTTTACCTATATTTTCTTCTATGTATTTTATGGTTTCAGGTCTTATGTCTAGTTCTTTTATCCATTTTGAGTTGATTTTTGTGTATGGTGAGAGGTGGTGGTCTAGTTTCATTTTTTTGCACATGGAGGTCCAGTTTTCCCAGCACCATTTATTGAACAAACTGTCCGTGTTCCATTGCATATTCTTTGCTCCTTTGTCAAAGATTAGTTGTTCATATAATTGTGGCTTTATTTCTGGGCTCTCTATTTGGTTTCATTGGTCTGTGTGTCTGTTTTGGTTCCAATACCGAACTGTTTTAATTATTATGGCTTTGTAGTATAGCTTGAAGTTTGGAAGTGTGGTACCTCCTTTCTCCTTTGTTTTCATCAGTAGGGCTTTGGCTATTCGGGTTTTTTTGTGGTTCCATGTGAATTTCATCAGTATTTGTTTTATTTCTTTGAAAAATATCATTGAGATTTTTATTGGAATAGCATTGAATCTGTATATTGCTTTTGGGAGGATGGCCATTTTAATAATGTTGATTCTTCCAATCCATGAGCAGGGGATGTCTTTCTATTTTTTTGTGTCTTCTTCAATTTCTTTTAACAGTGTTTTATAATTTTCTTTATATAGGTCTTTCACCTCTTTTCTTAGGTTTATTCCCAAGTATTTGATTTTTTTTTTTGGTTTTAATTATAAAAGGGATGGGTGGTTTTTTTTTTTATTTCTTCTTCTTCTGATTGACTGTGTATAGGAAGGCTACTGATTTTTGTGTGTTGATTTTGTATCCTACTACTTTACTGAACTGGTTGATTATTTTGAGTAGTTTTTCTGTGGAGTTTTTAGGGTTCTTTATGTATATTATCATATCGTCTGCAAATAGTGATACTTTTATTTCTTTTTTCCCTATATGGATTCCTTGTATGTCTTTCTCTTGTCTTATTGCCCTGGCTAGGACATCCAGTATTACATTGAAAAGCAGTAGTGAGAGATGACATCCTTATCTTGTTTCTGATCCTAAAGGAAAGGCCTTCAGCTTTTCACCATTGAGAATAATGTTGGCAGTGGGTTTGTTGTATATGGTTTTTGTCATGTTAAGTTATGTTCCTTCTATCCCGAGAATTTCAAGGGTCTTCATCATAAATGGATGTTGGACTTTGTCGAATGCTTTGTCAGCATCTATTGATAAGATATATGGTTTTTATTTTTCTTTTTGTTGATGTGTTGGATTATACTGATGGATTTTCATATGTTGAACCATCCTTGTGCCCCTGAGATGAATCCCACTTGATTGTGGTGTACTATCCCTTTGATGCATTGTTGGATTATGTTGGCAAGGATTTTATTGAGGATTTTTGCATCAGTGTTCATTAGGGAGATTGGCCTGTAATTTTCTTTTTTTGTGCTGTCTTTGTTTGGTTCTGGTATTAGTGTAATGTTGGTTTCATAGAACATACCACATCTTCCTGATCCAGTCATCTATTTTGGGGCATTTGGGTTGTTTCCTTTCCACATATTACCTATTATAAATAGTGCTGCAATAAACAAAAGGGTGCAGGTATGCTTTTGAATTAATGTTTTTGTGTCCTTTGGGTAGATCCCTAGGAGTGCAATTGCTGGGCATATGGTAGCTCCATTTTTAGTAGACTGAGGAAACTCCAGACAGCTTTTCATAGTGGTTGGACCAGTTTGCATTCCCACCAGCAGTGTAGGAGAGTTCCTTTTTCTCCACATCCTCACCAATATTTGTTTTATAATTTCTTTTAATATGTGCCATTCTCACTGGTGTAAGGTGGTATCTCATTGTGTCAGATCATTTGGTTTTCCTAACTTTTAGTTTCCTACTGGAGCTCTCTCAGGTCTCCGTACATAGACTCCATTGGCCAGGGATATGTGGGTTGCTTGTGCCTACTGTGGTCTTTGCTGTGCATGCTCAGGTGATTACTATTGTTTTTCTAAAATCCAAATTATTCCTTTTCTTCATTGGTGCTCAGAAAAATAGTCTTTTAAATCAAGGATAGGGAAAGCTTCATAACTTCTGGTCATTCCAGGACTGAGCAGAGCTTATCAAAACCAATATGGTTATCTTACCTCTGAAAACACTTCAATGCCCAAAATTGTCCATTACCCTAGCTGCTAGCCTGAGGAGTTTTCCATCCACCATAAATGACTATGTACCAAATCAAGTGTGTTCTTTCTGCTACAGCAGCGAAGCAGTTGACTTCTTTTTTTCAAAAAAAAAAATTATTTATTTAAGCATATAAGAACTGGGGTACAAGCCAGAGGTGCATGGGGTGAAATGATTCACCAGAGACAGAGTGGGGAACAGAATAAGCAGCCTGACTGAAATACACTGCTAAGGGGAGCAACAGGTGAAACAGGAGAGGTCTGCTGTGCCATGTGGGTAGCTCCCTGGTCGGGGATTGAACTCATGCTGCAGAGGTTGCAGACAGCTTCACAGTGCTGCACTTCACCCTTTGCACCACCAGGGAGACCCCAAAGCAGTTGATTTCATGGTCTCCCTGCTCTGATTGAACTGTAGCACCACAAAATAACCCTAGGCATGAATGCCAAATATCTGTGCAATTTTGATTAATAAGCATTTCTTAGTTTTTGGTTGATATACAAAGTACCAAAAATGGCTGCTTTGATGGTTTGTCTAGATACATGATTATTTTTTGAAATAAGGAAGGACATATTGATCTTCTTAATATGTTATGTCAAAATTGCCTGTACTGGGCCTCCCCAGTGGTGCAGCGATTGAGCGCTGGGCTGCAAGGTTGCCCGCAGCCTCTGCAGCATTGGTTCAATCTCCGGCCACCGGAAGGGTCCCACATGGCACGCAGTCCTCTCCTGCCATGCCCACTGCTCCCCTCAGCAGTGTGCTTCGTCGGTCTACCTGTTCTGCTCCACGCTCTGGCTCTGGTGAATTCTCTCACCCTCCCCCGTTTCTGACTGTACCCAGGGCTTGCATAAATAAATAAATAAAATCTTAAAAAAAAAATTGCCTGTCCTCTATCATTACTATTTGAATTGGCATACTGTATTTATGGTGAGGTTGTTTGTCCTTGTTAAGATTGAGTGTGAGTAAACAGGAAATTGTGAATGGGGAAAACATTTCAAGGACAAAGAACCACTTTTAAGGTTTAGGGCAATTTGCATAACCAGATATCAGAAGTAAAATTAAAAATATATATATGAGCCATAACGGTGACTGCAGGGATGATTGCTCTATAAGTGACATAGTGATTTCTGAAGCGAAATGCAAATTGATTGTGGTTGGAGAATTTTGATAAATGCTGATGAGATTGACTAATTTGGTAATCTCCCTGGTGAGAGCGCTTAGCTCTCTCTAGCTCTTTGGTTATATTTTAATTCTTTGGAATTCTTATTTGTTTTTTTCCTCAGTACTTTAGAGATGTTCCTCCATTGTTTTGTGGTTTGCATAGTTTCAGTGACAAATTTGCTGTCACCCTTACATGTTCTCTTTCTAATGTGTCTTTTTCTTTTATTGCTGTAGAATGTTTTTCTTTTTACTTCTGGTTTTAAGCAATTTGATTTCAATGAGCTTTCATGTTTTATTCCTTAAGTTCCTTGTGCTTAAATAAGCTTCATTGAGTCTCTTGGCTAAAGGCTTATAATTTTTAGCAAATTTGTAAAATTTATTTCTTCAAGTATTTTTTTCCTGCATTCCTTTCTCCTATGTTTTAAAACCTCCAACTATATATGAAGCAATTTGAAGTTGCTCTACAGCCCACCATTTCTCTATTCACTTTCCCCCACTCTGTCCCCTCTCTCTGTTTTTTATTTGTACAGAATTTTTGCTATGTTATCACATTCATTTTTTTTCTGCAATGTCTAATGTGATGACTTCATGCAGGTACTTTCTTTTCAGAAACTGTGGTTTTTATATCTCAAGGGTGGAATTAGGTCTTTTATATTTCTTCTGCATCCAAACTTAATGTATTCATGCTACTAGCTTTGAACATACAGATTACAGTTACAAGAACTGTTTTAGTGTCCTTATCAATGAATTTGATCATCTGTTTCATTTATGGGTCACTTTGGATTGAGAATTACCTCATTAAGAATAATTTTATTCTTTCCTTCATATGCTTGGTAATTTTTGATTAACATCAGACACAGTAAATTTTCTCTTGTCAGGTGCTTGACATTTTTCTATTACTATAAATATTTTTGAGCTTTGTTTTAGGTGGTTATTAAGTTACATTGAAACAATTTGATCCTGTTGGGTCTCACTAAATATTTTAGGCAGGGCCAAAGCAGCTTTTATGTTAGGGAAAATTGCTCCTGCACACATTGTGGTAAAACTCTAAAATTATGAGTTTTCCCAGTCTAGCTGGTGGGTTAGAACTTTTCACAGTTGTGTTTAATAGTGAATTGTGAAAAATCTGGTAATTATCTTCTCGAATTCTTTTTAAGTGTTCTTTTCCTGGCTTTAAGTAATTTCTTTTTTTTTTTAAGATTGATTTATGCATATAAGAACTGGGGTACAGGCCAGAGGTGTGGGGGGTGAGATAATTCACCATAGACAGAGTGGGAAACAGAATAGGCAGATTGACTGAAATACACTGCTGAGGGGAGCAGTGGGCAAGACAGGCGAGGTCTGCTGCACCACGTGGATATTTCCCTGGCTGTGGATTGAACTTGTGCTGCAGTGGCTGCAGATAGCTTCATGGGCTGTGTCCTAACCCTTTGCGCCACCAGGGAGGCCCTTTAGGTAAATTCTTTGCATGCTTGCAGAGCTCAGAAGCACACTCCACAAATCTCCAGAGATTTCCATGTTTGTGGCTCTCCTCTTGTTACCCCACCTTAGGAACTCAGAATTGTTTGTCCTTCCTGGATTTCCACATCTATTACTTGACTTAGGTTGACTGCCCAAATCTTTTGAAATTTCCTTGTACTGTGGCCTATAAACTCTCTGAAGGCATCATGCATGGTCTATTCCAGGACTCATTTGTTTTCTGTCACTTAAGGATCATCATTTTCATTGCCTGATGCCTACGCCTCTTTGAACCATTGTTTAGTATGTTTGTCCAGTTTTTCTAGTTTCAGGTGGGAAGGTATCTATACATCTTGTTACTTCATCTTGTATCTTACGTGTAAAGTGTAACTTAACATGTATGAATCATCCATGGAAAGTTTTAATTGTTCTTACTTGCTTCAGTTCATTTCCTCTGTGTGTGTGTAGGACAACGGTATGAACAAATACTAAGGACTGAAGAAGCTATTTACTATGCTGTCTCTAATATTAACTATAGCTCTGCATCTTTATCGGTATTTGACTCTACCAAAACAAATTTACTGGCTAAAAATTCTGAAATAACTTACTGGTCCCAGATTCCTGTGCCTATCTCTGCCAAGGGTATTTTCTCTAATATTCTTACGTGATAACTTGCTTGATTAGATAGAATAAAATCTAGGCAGGCACTCAGGACCATACACCAATTGATAAGTAATGACCCAAATATGAGTACAGCAAAAAATTCTTCCATTAGATGTCATATGTTGAATTTTTATTTTCAGGGAGAAGTTGCTGAAGTTACATTTGTAGGTGCTAACCCAAAGAATTCAGCAGAAAACCGGGTAAGCATCAATAATCCTTTTTTAAATTTTAAATCTGCTTCTTAGCCTTTCATTCATTGGAATATTCCAGAGATTAACAACTAAAGGTAAAATAGTCTGGCTTGCTTTTCATCTTATTTTATAAATGAGGGAATATTTTCAGTGGGTACAATTAATGTGAAATTGAGTCTGGAAAAAAGCGTAGAAGAAACATTTAACTGGCATTCACTTAGGGTCACCTACCACAAAAGTCATAAAGAACTGGATTGACTTTTGAGATATACATTTGAAAACAGTCAAATATTTATTTATTCAAAATTTTAAACTCCACTAACTCTGTGAAAACCTGAGGGGGGAAATAAGCAAACATTGTTTTAAAATGAACAATGATGTAATATATATATTAATTAATTAAAAATTAAATTAAAAAAATCAAGGAAGCGAGAGTGAAGTCTTTGGCTCCTCTCTCTCTTCAGCAGTGCTGCCTCTACTGTTGTGGAGTCACTGTGGACCCCGGTGGAAATACCACTGGCTCAGAGCTGCTGCCAATGTGTTCTACTCTGCCTTGCAGACCATTTCTCTGCTCTTTGCCACTGGTTCTAATAGGGTATTTATTAATCTTGAAAAATGACATAAGAAATCCATGTCCAAATGTGAAAACAGACATCTGCACATCAAATAGAATGTGAGAGTACCCCTTTCCATAAGCCTTTTTGGATAGTCATTGTCAATAGTTTGCTACATATCATGTCATGCACTTGTTTTAATCATACATAAGTACATGTAAAAGTACATACATATATAATACCTGTTAATAAAATGAAGTAATTTTACTTTTCCATAACTCCCTTAGAATATTGATATCACTATGCAAGCAATAACTAGATACATTCTAGTGATAATATGGCATTGTCAAGTATGACTTTGGGAAGAATATACTGCTGTTAAAATAATTAATATGCACCTGTTTGAAATAATTTCACTAAACAGCCTAGCTATTTCCAAATACTTATATGTATATAATATTATTTTCTGAAGATATCAAAATGTCATAGCAGAACTGCAGGATGTGTTATCATCTGATCCTTAGAGTGGGGAAATATCATTATTATTACCATGGAGAGAACAGGAGAACAAAAAACTTAAAGAAAACAAAAGACTATAATGAGAATAGAATCTCTGCAAATGCTGTAGGACTGGCATAAAACAATTTCCAGCACCTTTTTTAAAAATAAGTATTCATTACATTATCACCACTATTTATTGAACACTTAAGTATTTGCAGGGACTAGGCTAAGTAGTTTTATACATTATCACATGAATCTAATTTAATCTTTACTACTACTCAGTGAGTTGTTTTACTATCACTATTTTACAGATGAATAAACTGAGCCCTAGAGAGACTAAATTATTTGTGATAACTAATTATGTGGCTGGAAGAGATTAAAGTTGAGATGTAGGGAAAAGACAGTCACATAGTTCTTATTCAGCAGCTAAGACTTGTTCTCTAATCTATACTCTAGATCTATACACTGGGGCTTACCCTTTCTCCTATATCATCTCAGGCCTCCGAGTGACACTCTGCCCTATTGGCCAGAAATCAATCTCTTTACAAATTTCATGGTTATAAAAACTTTTTCATTGAACAGAAGCCATAAGTTGAGTAATTAGAGAATAATTTTAAGCAATTCCATAAATAAGTGATCCATTCACAAAGGTTTATTTGAACACCTATAAATAATAGGTACAAAGACCTGTGATGGGGAAAGGTGAGTTAGACAAAAGTCCCACCTAAGGAAAATTCGAGAGTTGTGACCTTCATATCTTTTAAGTTGTTACATTATTCAAATCTTTTCTGTGTTTGAAGCTGATTCTTGGCTCTGAGACAAATTATTATAGCTATTTTCCAGTGGGAAAATAAAATATGCTGCTTATTTGGTTTCTAGGAATCCATTTTGGACAAAATACAGGAATTGCTTTTAGCACCACCGGGGAGGCCCTTAATTTGATTTTCTATAAAAAATAGTGTTGGTTTTCATAAACTGGATAAATCTGCATTCTGAAACATTGCTGAGACTGTTAAGAGGAACACCTAAGAATTTAGGTGAAATTATATGATTTTCACAGAAGGAATTGTAAGTTAGCAAACAATCAACATAGGGAGCATTTGCAGACAGGTTCAATCTGTGAGTGTCTGTGTCTGATCAGTTATACTAATTGCATTTCAGACCTATCCGACCTTTCTCACTGTGGAGAAATATGAGGCCATTTCAGGCAAATGGGAGATAGTGCATAATGATGCTTCCTGGGAGACTCGGTAAGCCTATCTAATATTTTGTCTGTTAAGTCTTGAAAACCATTGGTTAGTAATGCAGGGAAAACAAATGAGAAAACTGACTCAATACATGATATTGGTGATATCAAATTCCCAAGGAATCTTCTGTCCATATTTAGTTGATTTATTAGATTTCATTTTGATTTGATTTTTCTACAAAACAGTGTGATATGTGCTTCTGTAAGATTAGGTGCTAATGGGTTACAGTCACTTATAAACATTTGTTATAAGCTCTTATAAACACTATTAGTTTGCTTTTTCCCATTTTCATAGCTCCCCTAAAAGCTAGATAGCCTTCTTGCAAATAGAGTGAAATGGGTGAAGATGTTGAGATGGTCCTTTAGAACCCGACATTCCTTCTGGGAAAATGACAAATCTAAACCCAATCTATTTTGCATATGGTTGATGATTCTTTATTAGAATTACTAAATCACAAGAAGTTTGAGTCTAAAACTCTTATGGACTTGTGTACAGTATGGGCTACGCTCATGGAGTTTCCATGGTGACAAGTCTATGACTGTTGTTACCAAATATGGCAATTGAATAGATATTTAGAAGATCTGACAATGTGTCTAAAATAGAAAATGTTTCTGTTTTTGTGTATACATTTCACACCACAGGACAGTGGTATGGGAGTGAAAAAATTTTTTAGCAATGTATGTCTAATTCAGACAGCCCCAAACTAAGTAATTATTTGCATGTTGGGTTGGTGCACATGGTTGAGAATAAATGCCATGTTGTGGTCCATGTGATAGCCAAATGTAAATATGGGCATAATCTTTCTGCTGATCTTTAGGACTTGTTAGGGTATATTTTAACAAGTTATAAATATGCATTTATTGTTAAAAATAGTTATTCATGTAATTATAAAAGGATGACTTATTTTCAAAAACCCCAAATCATAATAGCTATACACACAGGATATGTAAAGGTCTCTCCCTTGTTCATCAGCAGTAGTATCACCAACTATTTATTAGGAGCACTGGGCCTATCACCGAGAAACATCAAATGTTGAAAATGTCATCTATGCCCACGGGATTTAGTAACTGGAGGAGGATATCAGTCAGTTAGCTCATTGTATTTCACTATCTCTAGAAGAGTGTCTAGCTGCCTGTCATGGCTACAAGAACTAATTTATCTGACTCCATCTAGCTCTCATCTCACTCTTCTACTTACTGGTCATACTAACCTTCATTCTATACCTTGGCTGAACCAACTTTGTTCTTGCTTTAGACTTCAATTCTCTGTTCTTTTTCCTACAATGTTTTTCCCTTAGACATACTCAGTAAAAATGACATCTTACAGAATACTGGTCTTAATCTCTTCATTCCACATTTCACTTTTGAGATCATTTCTTGATTTTCTAGTCTATTACCTCTCTTTCCACTCTTGCCCTACTAGAACAAAAACTCCATGAAACCTTGGACCCTGTCTATTGTGCTCACTGCTGTATCTCCAGTGCCTCTAAAATAAATTCTGGCATGTGTGCTAAGTAAATATGTATTTATAACAAATGAATCTAGATGTGAAAAGAAGTGTCAGTTGAAGCAAAGAATGGTAAGGGCTGAAAGGATGCTGTCCAGTACTAAAGCAGAAGATATCCTGTGTTCTGAATATCAGGTAAGGCTTCCTGGGATGGCTAGAATTTAGGTAGTTAGAAAAGTAGAGAAAATAAAGTGTTTATACAAATGACTGTTTCTTAAAGTTCCTTTTCTAGATAGTAGATATTTATCTGTTTCTTGCTAGTAGCCTCTATATCTAGAATAGCACCTAACGGTAGGAACTAACTGAATCTTCATTGAATGAATAATTATACACTTTTCTAATCATAAATTTAAAGACCAAAAATGGGCTTGTTTGTTTTCCACAGTTTCTATTGGCACAAAGGACTTTCAGGTCATAGCAATACAACAATACAATGGCATATTCCAGAGACTGCCCAGCCTGGAACCTACAGAATAAAATACTTTGGACACAGTCGAAAGCAGAACTTATTCAAGCCCATCCTGCTTCCATTTGAAAGCTCTTCCTCCACTTTTGAAGTTACAACTACTTGGTAAAAAGTTGACAAATCATTTGAAGAACAGCTGCACTCTTATTTACATAATTGATTTTACATGAATGCAAACATTATGTTGACTTCTACATTTGTCCCTGTTTGGGGCAGAGAGTTTACTGCTAATGGGACAGAAGTGGTGTGTGTGTTGTGTGTGTGTTGTGTGTGCGTGCGCACAAGTGTGCACAACTCTGTCCCATTTATCTTGCTCTAGCAGCTTTGTATCTGCTGGTCTAAAACCCTGTGACTTTTTAAAGGGACAGTTCCCTTCATATGAAATCTCTGAAATGTTGGAGTAATTGATGGAATTATTGAACATTAGCACTGGAAAAGTTTAAAGAGATCACCTAATTTCCTAATCTGATCATTTCATTTTGCAGATGAGAAAAATGAAGTTTTGTGGGTTTGATATTAGCATGAAGCAACAGGGCCTTTTCTCACAGTTATATTTAAAAAAAAAATTATGTAAGCTTGACCAGAAATATATAAGCCCAATTAGAAAAAAATTAGCATGAAAATTAGAGACCAGTTTTTCTATACTGAGCATAGGCTTTGAAAGCAGTCATCCTGGAGTTGATATGCATAATCCAGAGTTGTTGGTGATACTCAAAACATTTCTGCAATTGCCTTAGGAGCCCAATTATGAGACAGTCAGACTTGTAACATTTTGATCATGCCTTGTGTTTTCCTAAGTGCCCTTCTCCCACTGAATTGTGTCTCTCATTCCTAAGACTTGTTCTGTATGATTTTTTTTTTTACTGTTTTCACTAATCAGGTTTACCCCCTAATCACAAAACTTTGTTTTAGTGTAGATATTAAAAGAAAAATATTACTGGTTTTGGAGAGTCTTCAGAGAGGAGTTTAATTCATATCTATCCTTTTCTCACTAACTCACTCACTTGGAGCCGTTCAATCATGGAATATTTACGTGCTCTCATACCCAGGATGATAGCTAGGGAGATCATGTTTGGTATGAAAGTGTTTAAGTGTCAAAGGGTGACTGTGTTGAAGGTGAAGATACCCAATTCAATGCATAAATTCTGGGGAGGCATTAAAAGTAATTTGCAATTACAGCTTGTGTATCATGTGTCTGGTACTCTAATCTGGGGGGAGAGCGGTACCAGATTATTTGGAAAAAGGATTTGAAAGTTATTTTAGGGCATTGTGAATACCCAACTGAAAATCCTAAAGAATGAGATGACAATCTGGCATCAACTGCCTGAAATTACTATCTGCATTTAAAATTATCCAAATTAATTAGGAACTCCCAGACTGAAAAAATAAATTTCTAAAAAGAAGTCACACTTCTGTATGTATGTAAAAGCTTTTAGAATTTTAGGGGAAATTATCCTTATTTCCATAGGCAAGTTTTAAAGCTTTAATATAACAATAATTGATAATGATGATACTAACTTCCACTTCTATATAACAACCACTTAAGCATGCTATATTGCATTAGAATGAACCTGGAACACTTTTTGATTAATCATTACTCTAAAAGCTGATTCCACAAAAGTTAATGCTGAAGAATTAACCAATCAATATTTCAAAGGGTAGCAATCATTTTTCCTAATGACACCACTATTTAGTATAAAAGTTCAGAGGTCTACAAGAACTTTGGTTCTATAAATAATTGACCCCCTGTTAGAACTGATGATATGATTTTAAAATGTGTTTCTCATGACTCAGAGAGTTGATGAATTGTTTTCCACCACTTCCATACTTTCCATTGAAACTCAGCCTGTGATCCTGTGAATCTTGATTGTTTATTGGCAGCTGAGCCAAGGCAGCTGTTGTATCTGTCACCTGCTATTGATCTTTCTGCACCCAGCCCGCTGTCCACCTGTACTCTTGATCCAAAATAATTCACAGAAACCTGTTTTATCACAAGCTACCATCTATTCTAACCCATGCAGTTCCATTTCTGTAGTTTGTATATAAAATTAAACCAGATCCCTGTATTATAGAACCATAATTACTCCCAAGCATAAAAGAACACCACATAGAGACAAATCAATTAATATGAAAACACAGATCTTATGTGTCTGTGGCTGCTGTCGGGAGTGGCTCATGAGCCAAACCATGTGGAGAAAATTCCTGAAATTGGTCACTATGTACAAAACAGGATTTGGGGTTGGCGGGTGAACTTCTTTAGAAAAGATTTTGTTTTTCATGTCAAAGTGTCTATTTTTATTTGTTGAACTATGTATGCTCTGTTTTGAAGGATGCTGTGACTACAAAAAGGACTGAATAATTCCTTTATATTTTTCAATAAGTATTATGTAAATTGCCAATATTTAATAGAATGTTTAATAATAAATTACTAATTACACCTGGAAAAATATTTTCTGATGGAGATGGAGACAAATGAATACCTTTTTTTCTTTCTAAGAGATGGAAGAAATTCTGGTAGATTCCATATAAATCAGGTCATTTATAAGTCATATAAATGACTTCTGTAAGTAACTAGCTAAACATAAGAAAATCACTTCATCAATTTCTTCCTGCCTTGCAAAGATTTGTGATGACAAAATATATATGGTTGACATTTTTTAATACTAGGACAACTAAGAGTTTCTTAGGCAAATAGCTTTAATGTTAAAATTTTTTAATGAGATAATTCTGAACAAAGAGGCTAAGAATGAAAGTATTGAAAATATCCTTTCCCAATGTACCCTCTTATGCTTTTCCAAAGTAAGGAAGAACACTACTTTTGTAATATTAGCATATGGATTTCATCTTTACCTGAAACATTTCATCATTAGATGATCTTTTCATGTCTTTAGTTTTTCCAAATGTTATTGGTTTCTGTGCATCCAATCTGATATATTGGCTGGGACTGGATTTTGTAATTTCATGATATATAAGATGCCAGAGAGAGAAATTTGCAATTTCTGCATCTAAGTTAGAATGTATTCAGCTGTAAGTTACAAAATATTCCTGATCAACATGGGTTCCAGACACCAAAGACATTTATAATCTCATGTAGCAGCAATTCTTGAAGTGACAAATTTTAGGTTTGAACACTCAGTGATATTACTGGTATTTGGATTTTTTTTTTTTACTTTTTAACTATAATATTAGACCTTTCAGTTAAAAGATGGCTACCTCATTACTTCATACAATTACAAACAGCAGCAAAAGGGATAGGGGAATTCTCCTTAGAATCACTTTTTAGTAGGTGAAAAATATTCAGTAGGAACACAGTGGAATTTACATTTCCCTGCCAGAACTGTGTCACATAGCTACAGTGGAGGCTAAGAAAGAATATTTGGCATTTTATGCCTCTAGAAAGGGAGGAAATTTCTGATAGCAAGAAAGAAGAGATAGGGCAGTAGCTATTATTTAAGTGTGTCAGCCAAAATGGGTTAGTTGTTGCAACATTAGAAATTTTCTGATCTCACCACATCCATCAAGATCAGCTGCAGGATCTGATCCATATCTTCTCACTCAGGAATGCAGCCTGACAAGTTCTCATTCAAAACATGCTTCTCTAATTAAGGGAAGGAGACACATGCTTCAGTTATGGAGCAAGTGAACATGGGAATCAATCTTACACCAGTTCTTAAAGCTTTCACCAGGAAGTGACACCTATCACTTCTCAAATTTCATTGGTAAAAGCTAGAAGGAGCCTCTTTGTCACTATTACTACAATAGACAAGAAGTAATAACTGTATGTCTTTCTTTATGGATCTTTGAAATACTTGGAACTAGTTTTACTCTAGGAAATACATTTTAGAAAAGAGTACATTTCGTAACCTTAGTGATGACAACACTTGCTTTCTCTGTTGAAAATATATGCATTTAGCAAATTTGTATCAAACACCTTTATACTTTATGGCAGGCACTATGCTGAGCCCTAAAGATAAAATAATGATGAAGGCAGAGCTAGTTCTTGCCATCAAGGAATTTAGAGTTTAATGGATGAAGTAGACAGACAAAATTGCTGTACAGATGACCCATATTGCTACCAGAATTGAGGGGGTTAGAGATGGCAGCTTCTATGGTCTTGAAGACCATGTGAACAACAGTACAAAGTTTCCTGGAAGAAATAACATCTTAGCTAAGACCTAAAGGATATCAGTTAGGAGAAATGTAATGGTGTGTTTATGTTTGCACGTATGTGTGCAGGGCAAGTAGGCCATTCTAGGTAGAAAGAGTAGCAGGTAGGCTTACTTGAGCTATAGTGGAGTATAAGAGATGAATCGTCAGAGATATAGCATTAATCTTTTGTCTTCATAAGTAAGCATTTGGTTTTATATTTGTATTAACATTTTCCTTCTTGGGCCTCATAACAAATATCATAAATGTGTTTTGAATGTATTTTCTCTTTGCTATGCTAATAAAACATTTTTATAGCTAAGGAAACTAATCTTGGCTTTCAGATTTCAGTGACATTGGATGCCACCATTCTGTCTTCATGGACTGTAAGTATGTGTCTTGAAACTGAATTTAAGAGCCTTTTTATTTTTGCTTTCATCCATGTTTCAAATGTATCATCTTTTTTTTCCTCTCCTATACCTATTGTCAAGTACAGTCAATAAAGATGACACTATTCTTTTAGATGGAACTCAGAGTTCCAACCTATGTCATTTAAGTACTTACATATTCTTAAAAAATGGCCATCCATATAAACTTTAAAGTATTTTGGCATGCATAATTTCAGGAACAAACTAGAAGTCTGAGGTCTTGGCTGAACACTAGCAGAAGATAACAGGAGATCCAACACTCCCATGCCTGCCCCAGCAGTTGGGAAAGATTGACTTGATAATATTTTCTCTTTTATTGTAGCTTTCCTATTCAATATAACATACTCATTTTTTATTTAATATCAGCTAAGCTAACTGAGCATAAGAGCTTAATATCACAATAGTGACAAGCTTGGAACAAAAAGTACAAAGGGCTCTACCCATCCACTTGTGTCCCCTAAATGGCCAACAAACCCAGATTATAATGCAGACGAAAAGACTTGAGTGGAATTTAAACAACCTAGCATGTAGGATTTTGTAAATAAAAGGGATGCCACCACCAAAAGGGGTGTATATACTTTGGATGTCTTTCTGAAACTTATGGTGGTGCTATTATGCTCACTAATTGTCACTTTTATCAGTTACTCTTACCTTCAAGTCCACAAATGCAAGATGTTTCACAGGGACTGAGTAGTAGTTTTTACCATAAATGGACGTTGTGTAATGTAGAAAGGCCCTAAACTTTGGAGTCTGGTCAACATGAAGTTGAATTATGGCTGTGACCTTGGGAGGCTTACTCAATATCTCTGGTTTATGAAATGGTGATAACAAAAATGGCTATGATTTCTATGAGGTTATATATGTTAATGATCAAGAGAAGGAATTTTGGAAACTATTTCAAATCCTAGTTCCACCACTTATCCAGTAGCATATCCTGAGTAAATTACTTAATTTCTTAAAGCCTCAACGTCTACATCTCAATTTCTTAATGTATAAAATGAGAACATTAATGGTATCTACTCTTTCAGTTGTGAGATTAAAATAAGTTAAAGTTGTTGACACAGTGCCTGGCATATGGTATATGCTTAATAGCTTAGCTGTTAACTTAGCTGTCATTGAATATTATGTAAGATGATGCATGTAAGTTTCTGGAAAACAATAGGAACTAAAAAATTCCTCCACTGAGAACTGAATCCACGATTGACCCCAATGACATTATGTTCTTCTTACTCTTTTTAAAAGTTGTTCTCTTGGGAATCCCCTGGTGGCTCATCGGTTGAGTGCTGGGCTGTGAAGCTGCCCACAGCCTCTGTAGTAGTGTTGGTTTGATCCCTGGCCGCAGGCGAGGGTCCCACATGGCACGCAGACCTCTCCTGCTGCCCGCTGCTCCCCTCAGCAGTGTACTTCATCAGTCTGCCTGTTCTGTTCCCCGCTCTGGCTCTGGTGAATTCTCTCACCCTCCCATACTTCTGACTGTACCCAGTGCTTGTATAAATAAATCTTAAAAAAAAAAAGAAGAAGAAAAAAAATTGTTCTCTTAATATCTCTGATATTAGTGTTGGAAGAATTGGAGTGAGCGAAAAGCTGAGGCTACTGAAATAGTCTAGACTGAGAGATTATTAAAGTCATTATGAGAACAACAACCAACTTCATGAATGGGTACGAAGAGGGGAATATATGAAACTCTACAGTTGAAATGGATGTACATTTTTACTGATTGACTAGATTGGGAGGGTGAGAAAGACAGTTGAAAAAAATGTAAACCCTGAAACATTGTTTGGGCAATTATAACAGTATACACTTGAATTAGGATTAAAAGGAAGAGGTTTCAGAGGGATGATGGTAAACTTGATTTTCTGTGTCTGAAATTTAACATGATGTCCAGGTAGCGACGTTCAACCCAGAGTTGGAAAGGTGAAGTGTGGGTATTGAAGATAAAATATGGCAAAATACAGAGAGATAGAAAACAGCAGTCGAAATGAAGAAAGCTGATAACTTTGCAAGAAGTGCTTACGGGGCAATGGGAATAGCCTGAGATGACAGGCCTTTGGGGAATATGCACTTTTAGGAAGGAACAGGAGGAGGATCAAAAATAATTAGGAAAACTAGGAGAGTAGGAAGAAAGAGTGCTGGTAAGGTCAATTATATCAAAGGTTGCAGAGAAGCTGAATGAATTAAGGATTGAATAAGCCTTGGAAACTTATAAGTGAGCATTTACATAGGACTGGTAGAAGGCAATGTGCAGGAAGTTGAGAAGTATTACTGGGTTGATCGGATGTGGCCACCTGATATCTGCTCTCCCATTCTTCTGTAGTGATAGTTTGAGTCAGTCACAGGGCGAGGACTGCCTTCCTCAGCTGATAGCAGTCCAGAACTGCATTTGACATGTGTGTCTGGCCATCTAAGTTCTGATAAGTTCTGATAGGAGAAGTGATAAGTTCTGTTTCCCCACTTGTGTTCTCAAAAGGACTTGTGCTGAAGGTTGCTTGTAAACCATCAGAACTGATTCTCCCTCAAGCTCCCAGAAGATGGAAGTCTCATGTTAAGATGGCGATAATAGGTCCTCCTCTGGTGGTGCAGCAGTTGAGCACTGGGCTGTGAAGATGCCGGCAGCCTCTACAGCGCTGGTTAGATCCCTGGCTACTGGCGAGGGTCCCACATGGCGTGACAGACCTCTCCTGCCACGCCTGCTGCGCCCTTCAGCAGTGTATTTCGTAGGTCTGCCTGCTCTGCTCCGCGCTCTGGCTCTGATGAATTCTCTCACCCT